CCAGAACTATTGGTTCGAATGGAACAATTATTTTTATGTTTGGTAGTCCATTTATCAAGACTAGAAGGAAGGCTGTAGATTTTAAAACCTTTAGATTTTCTCGTGTCTTCTGTGTATTTACTCCACACATACACAACACAGACATCACATCATCAGCCTATAGGTGCCCACTGCTGAGCAGTGTTCTTCTGACATAGAGAAGGTTTGAGCATTAATTAATCACCACGTTTGCTCCAGGCTGATTGGCGATTTAAAACTTGTAATTAGAAATTATATATAAGTCCTGATTTCCTTACGACGTTTTCCTTTACCATATGTCAGTGGTGTCTACGTTATGAAAGAAAGTACATATAACTCGGAAAAAGTTACATTGGTAATTGCCAGGTTTCGAACCCTTACGCATGAGAAGTGGGTGCGGTATCCTCCGGGTCACCACAACACACCAAGACCAGAAACCACAACACAATAAACATCAAACTAAGTGATAGGAATCTTAATGCCTCTTGTCTCTGACTGGGCTGGTTTTAGTTATTCGTTGTCACTTGGCATATGGAGGTGATGCAAGTTACCTTATCAATACTGAAGTACTTTTGTGGCGTGAATTCCTTCTGTTGTGCCAGCTTGTAGAGCATGCGCGCGCTGACGGCGGTAGTGTGAGTCCGGAGTAGGTTCTTCTGAGCCTCCTCTATCTTCCAGTCATATCTGTAGCCCTGGTACCAACATAGGAATGAATGATGAAATATTTGTCAAGTTTTTTATGGAATAGGTCGGTAAACGAGCAGACCGATTACCTGATGGTAAGCAATCGGCGCCCCGCCCCGCCCATGGACACTCGTAGTACCAAAGGAGTCACAAGAGATGCGTTGCCGGCCTCATGTGGGTTATTAGGGATTTAAAGATTGAGAATGGGGGAAGAGGGAGAACCTGCGGTAACCTCACGCACACGACGAAACAAAATAATGCTGTTGTTGTTTCACTCCGGTTTTTTGTAAGACCATGGTATCACGCCAGTTAAGCCGAGCCATTCGTACCAAAGCTTGGTTTTCCCACACTTATACAATACACTTTATTACCCACATCAAATTGCCATACAATAATTACGTCGCACATTAAGGGGAATTAATGTTTACTCCATAAACAAAGAGGTTGTGTTGTGAGTTAATATTCCCTTCAAGGAATAAATAACATAAAAGTCTCTTGTATGTGCACCTAGATATTTTTACTGTTCTATTTCAGGTGTAGGCTGTCAAAAGTACCTACTTAAGGTTTAGTTGGAATAAATAATTTTGACTCTGACTATTGTACAGAGGTTTTCAAAAATAAATACTAAGTGACTAACCTGTGACCCATAGCCGCCTTCACTATGTACTTTCTTCACCCGTTCCAGATATTCCATGGGGAATTGTGTAGTGGTTGCTGGCGAAGACATGAAGAATGTGTCATGCGCATCCCTAGCTGGGTGCTGCTGAGGTTGGAAGAGAGCATCGAAGTTCCAGAAAGAGCTCTCAATGTATTGATTGGTGGGCATTTCAGTGAAACCCATTTCTAAGAAAATTTCTCTGAATTCTGACCTTACTTTGAGTAGCGGGTGAAGGTGACCACATTCTGGTGGCTGGCCTGGAAAAACATATGTAAATAATAATTTACATTGTTATATGTTACATATCTTATTACTATCCAAATTGAATGCTCTATTAAATAATATATTAAAACAACATAAATTACCTAAGGCATCAAAATTGTAAGGTTTGAACTGCAAGGTTTTCCATGCACCAGTTAGTAGCATTTCACTAGTCAAATCAGTTTCTAGCTTCTTAATAGTTGTAGAGAATTGTGGTCCTTTAGATAGAAGAAAACTTTTTACGGTGACTTCCTGGAGCAGCTTTCGTTTCTTGTAGTCATTTCGGACATTGGTTGTCAAATTGTCAATTCCTTTTTTAAGTTCAATCAAGTGTTCCTGCACAGTGTCATTTATCGTATCTACTTTACGCTTGACTAGTGGAGCTCCTCCAGACTTGTCTAGGTAAATCCAACCTGCAGACATTGCTTTACTAAATCCAACTTTTGCATTTGGGACTGTCTGTAAATAAACATGATAGGTACAAGTTCTGGTAAGGTGAAAGGATGTGTATGACATTGAAAAATAATAAAATGAAGCTGTTGTATATTGGTACAGTAAATATACTATAAAATTGTTAAAAAGTTTATCCATTTGAGATATTATCTGTTGTATTAATAAATAACATTGTTATAAGTAATGGAAAATTATAAAGATATTACGGACAGTTATCAATATAAGGAATTCTCAAATGTTCTTTGAATTTAGTTAGAATATTGTTAGTGCTAGTAAGAGGCAGGTCAAAAATGTTATCACAATTTCGTCATCTACTGTACCTTCATAACTTCTGCCTGTGCCATGCCAGTTTCAGGGATATGATTGTACAGTACTGCTTCGTGACTGCCTAATTCAGCAACCTGTTGGCCTTCCCCAGTTAACTCCCATCGCGTACTCTTAGTAGGTTCAGATACAACCATCTCAAGAGCTTCCAAACTTTTCACGGCACCAACTATTTTTTGATGGTCTTCTTTAAATTCGCTAGCTAACTTAATAGTATCTACTTTATCATTTTTATCTAAATAATGAAGAATTCTTTCGTTTAGTTCCATTTTGTTTATTAATATTTTATATATTTCAGATTGGTGAGGTTAGGAGCCACGGACCAACTTTCGAGGAAAATGAAATGAAATGTCACAGGACATTGTCACTGTCTAGTTGTCAAAAATATCTAACGTCAATGTCATTGTAACACTTTGTAATTACGTTTTGTTATTCTGAAATGTTAATTTATAAACGTATTCCTGCGCATGTACTGTCTAGAACCAATGTATTTAAGGACCTGTTCAACAATGTCTAGGCAGGTACTGTGCACAAGATAAATTCGATTAGATAACTAAATTAGTGTGAAATATGTAAAAACAAACTTTATTGGGAATTTATAGGAAGGTGATGTGGAGAAACGAGCAGTTACAGTTATAAATACACCTAAATATCTTCGTGATTCTATATTTATAAACGTCGTGGTGGCACGGAGGTTAAGATGCCCGCTTCTCATGCATGATGGTGCGGGTTTGAAACCTGGAAAGTAACGTACCTGTGACTTTTTCCGAGTTATATATACTAAGTATTAAAAATATTTCGTAATGTCGTGGTGGTCTGGAGGTAAAGCAGCCCGCTTCTCATGCATGAGGGTGTGGCTTCGAAACCTGGCAAGTAGCAATGTGTTTTTTTCCGAGTTATATGTACTTTCTATGATTATTTAGACACCACTGACATACGGTGAAGGAAAACATCGTGAGGAAACCTGGACTTATAATTTCTAATTATAAGTTTGAAATCGCCAATCCGCCTTGACCAAGCGTGGCGTTTTTTTTGGTTTTTTTTTTACTTGCAATAAACTAGTGCTTGACTGCGATCCCACCTGATGTTAAGCAGTGATGCAATTGTTGATGGTAAGGCGCACTAGTTTATTAAGAGCCTATTAACTCTAGCCTTGAAGACACTTAAATTGTATTCGGACGGAAAGACTGCAGCCGGCAAACTGTTCCAATCCCTCGATGTACGCGGTATAAATGACGAGGCAAAACGCTTAGTCCGGGCCGCAGGTGTCTCAACAACGTAGGGGTGGATATTCGCCGTACGCCGGGATGTCCGAAGGTAAATTGGGATGGCGGAATCAGATCGTGCAATTCCTGGGCACACTCTCCAAAATGCATCCTGTAGAAAACCGCAAAGCTGGCTACTCTGCGCCTGTGCTCGAGATTTTGAAGATTGGACCCAACCAAATCTGGATCTCCAATCAGCCTCTTTGCACGCTTTTCCACTGAATCCAAAGCCGCTAGGTGGCATTTCGCAGCACCAGCCCATATGTGGCTGCAGTACTCCACACACGATCGGACCTGAGCTTTATACAACATTAGAAGCTGACTCGGTGTGAAGTACCGTCGAACTTTTGCAAGAACAAACATTAAATCTCAAACCTTCTCCGTGTGAGAAGAGGCCTTTGCTCAGCAGTGGGCACTTATACGACTGTTAGACAATGCCTACAATGGCATTTAGTCCACCTGTACAATTCTTTGTATAAAGTGTATAAATAAATTAATAAATATAGGCTGATGATGATGATGATAGTGATAAAATATCTTATAAATAGAACGAACAATAAAAGAAACGTGCCATGTATTGAATTATCATGACAAAATAGGCAAATTATATAGTTTGCAGGAAGTCGCTTAAAAGTTGCAACTGCTGTTATAGATCCTTTGTATCGGGAAGGCCTGACCCGAGTGGGGAACCGGAATTCTAAATATTATCTTTTTAGCAATGTAGTAGAAATAGACTATTGTACAAATAGATAAAGAAACCAGCAGGTTATTTTTTTTAAATTTCTTAATCTAATTTTCATCTTTATTATTTTGAAAGAGGTTTTGTATCAAAGCCTTTTACCTTCGAACCCTTAAGTCTTAGCAGTTAGCAGTTCAGCAAGGTCAGTCTTACAGGATACGGCGAAAAACAACACGTATCTACGTTGTGTTTAGTTCTCCATGTGAGTGAGGTTGTCGGAGGCTAAATCCTTTTACTCCCATCCTCAATCCTTAAATCTTTAATAACACGACAGCCCTACCGACTGACAGACATCCTGTCTTTCTCTTAATAAAAAAAAGGTTTTTCCATAACATGATCTTCTTCTGAGCCATAGGACTCTTGGATGCGCTGCGTATACAAACCACAATCATCTTTATTTTTACCCCTTTGAAAAATATTACCTGTGATATTACTTACGTAATATATACTTTTATATCCTTTATCAAAAACCATTCACAAATGATGATGAAATAAGGTCCAAACATAGCTTATGTGATATTAATATCATGTGTCATCTCTGTTTTGAAAAATGTGTAAAGTCATCGTTCCAAAGTCTGATTCGGTTTAAACGAAGGCGATTAAATATAATACGCGGCTCCCCCGCCCTATTTTATTAGTTCAGTTTGTTGTTACATTCGTCGATGACGTGTGAAGCGCGGGAAAAATATTCGAATATAAAAATACGTGATATTAATATATTTTTTTAGCTGTGATTATTATTAAATAAATAGAGCAAGGTGAGTAATTATTTTTATTGGCAGTATTGAATTATGCAGTAACAGTTTTTAATATTTGTAATTTGTTTGTTTGTTTCCTTAAAATAAATTATTTAAAAGAGTGGATTAAAGTTTATAGTAGGAGGTAACACACTATTTTTTTTGCCGAATTTATTATGAGCTTAGGGCACATTTTAAAGTGGTTTTTACAATGGGTTTTTAGCCATTATTTAACAGATGAATTTGAATATAGAACGTACCTAGTTTGAATGATTGTTGATTTTTGTTTTTCTTGATCTAAGTATCACTTTTATCTTGCGTTTTGGGTACAAACAAACAAGAATGGTGTAGCCCTTGAATAAAATAATATTAATTAGGCAAATACTTTGTGAATAGAACTTATAAAAAAATTATAACAAGATTGCGAAGGTAGCTATGCGAATAGGTATGTGTGACGATCAAAACGGCTTTTTTAAGTCGTACAAAACCAGTCCGAGTGCCTTCTAACCTTTTTAAGATACGAATTATAAATGATTAGTTTGCCGTCTGAAGTAAGCGTCAGAAGATTAATTATTCGAACGTGTTTTGTTTTGTATATTAAATTTACGGTACCTGTGCTAAAAAACCATTTATAGGTATTTTATAAATATATTGACTATGTGTGTATGATATAGTTATTAATAAATAAGTATAGAAAATTATAAGGTTTATTCAGGAAAAACATTTTAAGTATATTAGCTAAGGTAAGAGCCAACTAGAGTCGGCCCTTATGAAAACCCCGGGATTAGTAGGGTAATGTAGTGATACCTAAATCTGTAAGAACAAGGATTATAGCAATATAGTTTTTTTTAAAGAAAGCACGGTTTTGTTAGCTTAATCCCAGATTTAGATTAATAAGTTTCTTAAATTCCTCATAAGACTCGTAGCTCGAACTTAAAACGACGAAGCAAGTAAAAAAAGCCCATGATAAGTACATACAGCTAGAATTATAAAAAGTATGCACTTAATAAAGAAAACCTTACTCTTTACATAGCCAGGAAAATAATATTTAATGGACTCAATAGAAGTAGGTACATGTAACTAAGTATAAATTTGTTTCCTCTCATGAATCTATAGATACTTACTAATATTATAAAGCGGTAAAATTTGTAAGTTTGTATGTAGGGGTTAATGTTTGGAACCGCTGCTGGTCGGATTTCTAAAATCCTTTCACTAATTGATAGCTACAATGTTCCCGAGTGCTATAGGCTATGAAACATACCGCTACGATCAAATGGAGCTGAGCAACAGCTAGTTATTTATAATTCCTCGATTTTTTTTTTCTATAGTCATAATTTAAAAGCTTCTATTACTTACACCGAGTCGCCAGTGCAATCAAAGCGGCAGTACTCCCAAATAAAATTTCTTATACGTACCTACAGATACTAGGATTTAGAACATCCAACTTTAATTTTGTGACAAAATCAACGCTTTTCTTGTAGGTAGTACAAGGTAACAAAGTAAGTTCAGACTGTAAAAATGTATACATATGTAAATAAAATTGTATTTACTTAAATCTTTCTAGAAAGGTAAATAAATCTTTATTTTAATGGGCCGGCCACTATCTCACCCAGGTTCCCTTCGAGGAATACGCCTCAGGCATAGGGTTCTACTTTTAAGTCTGACGGGCTACTTAATGTTAATAAGTAACCATTGGACACTCGCACCACCTAAAGAGTTACAAGTCCGGCTGGGCCGGCCTCTCTGTGTGTTTTTCCGCACAATGCCAGTTTTATCATGGTCGTGGAAGCATGGCTTCTCCACATATCTATGGGATTTTTTTATGCTGATCACGTGACTTGTCGATGAAGATAAGATAATTATTATCTTCATACATATAATAATGAATTGATTATATTATATTATTAGCTTTTATAGTTACTGGATATATTTATGGTCTATAGTTACTGGGTGAAATGAAACCTATGCATTATTCCAGACTATGATCTATCTCTATGCAAAATTTTGCTTAAATCCGTTTAGCAGTTTTTACGTAAAAAAGTTACAAACATCCACCCATTTTTACAATGTTTCTCGTTCATGTTAGTACTTAGGATAAAGTAAATATTTGTTTATAGATGTCGCGGTTAGACGTGGTGATATTTGGCGCTACGGGGTTCGCCGGGAAGCAGGTAGTCGTTTACATGGCGAGACTATCCAAGAAGTACGACTTCGGCACTTGGGGCGTCGCTGGACGTTCTCAGGCAAAGCTCAGCGCATTGATGGCTGAAATCTCCAGAGAGACGGGTAAGTAATTATGATCACTATTCCTAAACATTTAGGGGGCTCTGACACTCCTTTTAACCATACCCTGGGCGAGGGAAGTCATTTTATGATTTTCCCTCTACAAAGAAGGCCACAGATGTCGTGCTCATACCTGATATTTTTTAGATAAATATGCCTGTCGATACTATATGTATTAATGATTTCGCGCTGATGGTAGGTAGTACAAAATCGCGTTTGGGTTGGTTATTTTGGGATCGGTTATTGATTTTAACATTTATATTTCACCTACATAAGCATTTACCTTCCTACATACATAGGCTTTAATTATGTACTTTAAAATATCTATCATTTCTAAAGCCGAATATTTCCTACTACAACCTTACTTTGTGTGCGTGTACACTCAACCTCGAAATAATATGAGCCTTACTGGTTGTTTTAGTGCTTCGTCATCAACAAAAATCAATAATTTATACATCATACTTAGCTAGCATTATATTTGTATCCTAGTAAAAAACGTTATGGTGAATAATAAGTAAAATGTGTTTAACTGCTATACAATCTATACCTATGTATTATCCAGGCCGATGGAATTGAAATGAGTGAAACGACTCGCGGGTTCGATTCCTGTGGAACAACACTTTGTGTGATCCACATATTGTAGTTCACATAACGTTCGTAAACACATAACGACGCATGCGAAAATACTAGTGTCGGCCAAGGTTTTTTTTTCTTTAAAAGCATTCTTCAGAGTCGCTTTACTGTTGTCAGTGGAATCGTGGTCGTCAGGTAAAGGTGAAGGATGAAGAGCTTTTATGTGATAGGACGGCAAACGAATTACCTGATGGTAAGCAATCAGCGCCGCCCATGGACACCCGCAACGGAGGAGTTACGAGGGCATTGCCGACCTATGAGGGATTAGGGTTTTGGATATTTAGGGATTGGTGAGGGATCGGGGGAGAGGAAGGATTGGGTCTCCGGTAACCTCGCTCATACGGCGGAAAAGCTGTGGTTGTTTCACGCCGGTTTTCTGTGAGGCCGTGGTTCTAATCCGGTCGAGCCGACCCATTCGTGCCGAAGCATGGCTCTCCCACACTTAAAAATCTATATACTTATTGATCAGTATCTAGAACGCTAGACAAACAGATAATCCAAGTGTAGCTCGTGTAAATAGTAATTATGTGAATTCATATAATTACATGTAATCGTTTATATCCGTGTTGACTGTTGACAGGTACCTAAGATTGTATGTGTGCAATAATTAAGTATTTTAGAAGTGAGTAAACACATTTTTTCCATACTTCTTCAATCTATAACATACGACCTTATGTAATTATTTTCTCATTACCTGTTATTTACTTGATTTATGTAAACTGAGATTTAAAAGATATCATTATCTAATGATAACAGATATTAAATTACAGTCATCTTTATCTTTTGCGATAGATATTTGTGCTTTGAATTTGAGTTTGAATGACTAGGCTTCGATTCCCGCTCGATTCACAAATTGTTGATAATAATATGTTGAATTTATATAAAGCGGCATTGGACACAATCTTGTATTTAATTTGACCATATTTTATTTTAAGTGTAAATCACCGCCCGACCAGAACCAGACCCGAGCGAGCGTTCGACTAGAGTCAATAGACCACCACAGACAGGGCCCTATAGGGCTGATATTCAGCGAGGGTTGCGGGGTTAGCGCAACCAGGCACCCCGGCCTCGGTCTAGAGCAGTTAAAGAAACGGGGGCGTTTTTAGTTTCAGTAAGAGTCTGACACTCCCTTACGCCTTACCCTGGGCAGGAGAAGTCATTTGATGATTTTCCCCTCACAAAAAACCATCACGCAAATTAGGTGTACTTTACCTATCTCTGCTTAAACCGACACCTTAAGTATAGTATATAATATATATTTTCTTTTGTTAAAAGAAAAATCCTTTTGTAGAGAAATTCTAGAAAAGAGTAAGGGGTCGGTGTAACAACAGTCTGAATACAAATAGTCGATACTTAACAAAGGTGAGTCAGCTTCGAAGGACAAGGTTACAATACAAGTTTTTTTACAGACATGCGCAGTAGATGTGTTGTGGACACAATTTTCAACTACCTTGTAATTTACTAGATAAGTAAAGTAGCTATAATTCTTCAACCTTAGGGCGACGAGGAGTGTATTTTCAGGTTTTCAAAAATACTTATTCTGTAATCTAATTCTCAGTATATTGATTTGATCTCTAATCTATTCTCAAAGATAAACCATTATAATAATGTCTCACTGATTGATTTCGATTACGGTCGACAATCTGTCTAATAGACTCACCTTTTACGGAGGAGATGTTACAGTCTCTATTCCTAAATCTCCAAAACCCTTATCCCAAAAAGTTGGCAACGCACTTGTGTTCCGGGTCTACATAAGCGGCGCCGCTTGCTTACCGTTAGGTAATCCGTCTGCTCCTTTGCCGTCCCATAACATAAAAAAAATGTAATTCTGAATGGCTCAGTTGAAACAAATACCTTTATTTTGACTTCGTCAATACCCAGGAAGCCAAAATTTACAAGGTAAGCTAATTCTCCATCGTATAGTTTTTATTGCTACTTTGATCATATGGATAGTTGTGAGCTCATAAGCAAATAAATACAAACATATCGTTATAATGATTGTAAAAAACGTCCTTATGTGTCGGTCAAAGGCACAACATACATAGGTAGCTATATTTTCCGTATGGAAGGAGTCGGTCAGCATCAAAAATTCATGACCACTTAGATTTTCAAAATAATAAAATGGTGTTCAGTGACATTTGACAAGTTGCGTTCAATTTATTTTGAACTTTAATGATGTTCATTCAATATCATGGCCCTATATTGTTAAGTGAATTTTGGGTGACTAGCTAATCTCGTTCGGTTTCACCCGCTGCTCTGCTCTATTTGATCGTAGAGTGATGTTTTATAGCCTATAGCACTCTGGAACATTGTAGCTACCTATCAGTGAAAGAATTTTTGCGATCCGACCAGCGGTTCCAAAGATTACCCCCTACATACAAACTTACAAATTTTACCTCTTTATAATATTAGTGAGTGATATACTGTACAATGCTTTTGAAAATTTGAATGTGTCCATCGACTTTTGATGCTGACTATACCTACACTACAAAATAAATTCCACTAATAGCGTTATAAACGCGAAATTTTGTAAGTATGACTGGATCAATGTTTTTCATACTTCACGTAAAAACTACTGAATAGACTTTGATGAAAATTGGCACAGAGATAGAGAAATAGAGAATGCGGGTAGAGCTGCTAGGACAAGCTAGTAATTAAATAAAGATCATGTAAGCATACTACCTAGTATGCACAAAATTGGTCATTCCCCTTAACTAGAGATGTCATTGAAGAACTGGTTTTTAAAACGATTTCTATAATCATACCTAGCTGTTATTATGAAAATACGTAACTAATAATACGGTCAAACCATTTTAAGCTTCATTAAGGAGGTCAGTAATAGCCTACGTTAAGGTTGACCCATCAATCAAGGACTCAGGTCAAACGTATTTTTTTTATGATAAAACTTTGACTCAAACTGGAATTTTCTCTTGAATCGTGGGTGCGATTACCACCCAGACCCAGAACAATAATTAGTGGATCACGCAAAGAGTTGTTCCGTGCGGGAATCTAACCCGCGACACGTTGCACGGCAGCCAGTTGCCCAGCCACCGCGTCAATCGTGCAGTCATTTGACTCAGAGGATGGTTTTACGAGGGTGGTCATTTCGTTATCAGCCTAAAACAATCCCAATTGTTAGATAAGCCCATACATGGAAAATGAAGGATCATTATTCACCACGCTTGCACAAAGTGGATTGGCGATTTTTATATCGTAATGATTGCTTACTATGTTTTTTTATAACATGGTTCAGCTAACGAGCTTATGTACTAACTGAGATCAATCGGCGTCGTCACAAACCACAACACTAAAGGAGTTATAAGCCGGTTGCCAGCCTTGTGAAGGTTGTTAGGAATTAGGGGATTTGGGAATGATAAAAGGGGGGAAGGACCTTCGGTAACCACACCTTCTCGCTAGTATTCTGTGATTGCCATGGTATTTAGGCAGCCCTTTCGGGATCAAAAAATGATGTCCCACGTGTATTATTTTGTAAGCTTATTAACAGTTAACTTATTCAGTTTTTGCATGAATATAAACAGATAAAGCAATCAACTAATCACCCATTTACTTATACTTACAATAGACAGGAAAACAAAAGATAAAAAAAAAAAGATTTCTCAGGCTTGATCAACATCTTAATAGATACTATGATACATAAATAACAACCTACGCACACGTGACTAAATAATTTTATTATTTTTCGTCCAATCACTGTGACAAAGCATTTTTTTAAGACGGCCTCTTGTATCAAACACGTGACTAGTTTTTTTTTAAAGTAGCTAGTAATATCTATGTTAAACATGTGTATGTGTATTTATTTTATTAGAATGTAGTATTGCAGCTTACACGGAAAATTATTGATTCGAATTATTTTAAATCTTGTTTGAATATAATCAAGTTTTGCAGACAGAATGTGTACCTACTTATAAAACGTTTTTTTATGATACGTTTTTTTTGTTGTTGTTTATTTATTTATTTACAAACGCACAAAATGTTCCTAGGTATACCTACTGTTGGGATTGTGAATATTAGAAAATAACTTTATCTATTAATTTTGTAGACCTTGTATTTCCTTCCTGATTATCTACAGATTAAAATTAGGTAGTTTCCTAGGTCAAACATAAATTAATTCAACATTTCAATACAGTAAAATATTGAAAAATAACTATACTTTGAGCGAAATACCTTGTTTGTTAACGTGTAAGTAAAGTGTGTGTCGTCTGTATGAATGAATTAAATTAAAATTTGGATGTTCTTGAGCCAATCTGGTCACAGAAAATAGAATGTGTGTGTGCCCTATGAGTATACGCTATTTCTTATTTTTGTGGAGAGACATGAGACAATCTGTCCCAAATTTTAGTTTAATATATATGGTATCCTAAAGTTCAGATGTCCTCGAGCCAATCTGGTCACAGAAAACGGAGTATGTGTAACCTGAAGTGATGCACAATCTCTAACTTTGTGGAGAGACATGAGACAATCTGTCCTGAATTTTAGGCTAGCGATTCATACAGCGAAATACCTTGTTTGTTAACGTGTAAGTGTGTGAACTGAAATAGTGGAATGGCGCCCCGTCCGTTTGCTGATCGAACAAGGTAACCCATTTATATTATTGGGCATTCTAATCCACCTTCCGTTCCTACGGCTCACTCCGTTCGCCTCCGTCACTCTCGGTGGATTAGAATGCCCAATAATATCCTACTTTCATCGATCGATCGATACACTAAATAGATATTTTTTAGCTAATTATAAAGAAATGAGTAAGCTATTTGGCGTAAAAATAATATGACGTCATACATAACTCAGTATTTCATACAAATTTCATAGAAAAGTGTCGTTTGTGACATTTGGATAAAAGTATTGAATTTGACTAGTTGGAAACTACCGTATTGCAGGTTTTTGTATGTTTTGCATAAAATGCAAGTGGTATGTAAACAGTTTGTTTCGGCGAAGTTGGGAATAATGTTATAGATATTTTAAAATATGGTATGGGTGCTTATGTTCTTGTTGACATCTAATATACCTTTTATTAAATTGTCTAGAGAAAAATACAAGGTCGTATTGTAAGTGACTAAATATTACGGTTTCCAATAATAACTAGTATACATAAAGTGTTTACAGTAGAGTAATTGCATAGAGCTACCGTATTTATTTAGTACTCGTTGATAGAACATGGAGATGACATCATGACCTAGAAGTACCTTTGAACTGGTGAAGGCAGTTAATGGTAGTTTTAAATTAGTTTTAGCACGACATCTTTGTGTAGCTCGGGTGTTATGGGAAAATTATAGACTTCGATGCACTTTGTAGTCCATTAGGAGGTCGAGGAATGTTTCTTTGCATTAGCTAGGTAAAAGCAATCATATTATGGGTATAGTATACTCTACAAGGTCGAACAATGTCAGAGTTGGGGAGGTGGTCGGTTTTCGTTCAGTGTGATGGAGTCGCCTATTGCGGCGGCTGGGGCGTGAAGGGGATAGTTCCCTAACGCGCTCCACTTCCTCCTTTGCGAGCATTAATGCTTCGCAGATAGAGGAGATGGCTACCCAGTTCCTCTCGCTCCGCACCGTGGCCCGGATTAAGGCCGGATATGAAATGTGGTGGACAAAAAGGGAGACTTTTCTTGGATTGCGGGTAGGTTGCTATATACATAGATACTGAGACCCTGGTACAGAGCCGGTTTTCTCCTGTTGTTGTTCCGGGATGGTTCTTGGGCCTACGGTTCAGAGTTTTCATGGTTTTATCTTTTTAGATCTTACTATACAAGAGTATCAGTGACTTTGGGGGCTTGTAGTGGCCTTGTCACAGTTTATTTAAGTTTCGCTTCACTTAAGGCGAGTCATTTAATAATTTTCAATTTTAAAAGTAGTAACTTTTGTTTATCAACTTCTAGCGACACCGGCTCCGCACGTGTGTAATGCTGATACTAAATTTGCCCACTCTTTAATTGATGTTACAATACATAAGACCACTACAGTTATCAGTCTATCAAAAAAACTACACCAAAATCTGTTACGAAGTTTTTTTTAATGTTATTGATCAGCAAACGAGCAGACGGATTTCCTGATGGTAAGCAATTAGCGCCGCCCATGGACACCCCCAACAGAGGGGGGATTTTTTGGGGATTGGGGGAAGGGTAGGATTTGGCCTCCGGTAACCTCACTCACACGACGAAACACAACGCTGTGTTTATTTCGCGTTGGTTTTTTGTGGAGCCGTGGTATCATAACTATGACTTACGTATATTAAAATTTGGCAATTGTTACTTTCAGGCGAAGACCTCTCCGCCGTTAAGCTGATAGTAGCAGATGTCGGTGATGAGAAGTCGCTCCGAGAGATGTGCGCTCAGACCAATGTGCTGATCAACTGCTGTGGTCCCTTCCGGCTGTATGGGGAGCCTGTCGTTAAGGCTGCTGTCGAGAGCAAGACGAACTACGTGGATATTACTGGGGAACCACAGGTAACCTGCTTCACATTATATTAGACTGCGCGATTGGCGCAGTGGCTGAGCAACTGGCTGTTGAGTAACGTGTCGCGGTTTCAATTCCCGCAAGAAACAGCACTTTGTGTGATTTACAAGTTTTTGTATTAGGTCTGGGTGGCTTGTGTAGGTATGTGAATTTGTGTTTGTAAACGCACCCACACAGGAGAAAATGATAATGTGAGGGCAACTTAAAAAAAAAACTTAAATCTTATAGATTATGTTAAAAGCCCGTGGGAGTACATTACTGGACCTAGGACCTCCTGAAACCAGGGTCTTAACATAACTATGATCACTGTATTCTCCAAGCTAAAAACTAAGCAGGTTTCCTACTCTGTTTTATTCTTTGATCTTTTGATGTAGGCATATTACGTTGTGGAATCTAAAACAGCTGTTTATGAAATCAACGAAAGTTTCCACAGATGTTTAATGATGAAGAATGATAGGAAGGAAAACGTTTACCCATTTATAAGACAGGGGAACAGATTGTATAATGCCGAGGGACTAAGAAGGAGAATAAGTTTATTTTGCTCTTTCGTTTTCAGTTTATAGAACTCATGCAGATTCGATACGATGAGAAAGCACGCGAGGCGGGAGTGTTCGTGGTCAGCGCGTGTGGGTTCGACAGTATCCCAGCCGACATGGGCGTCACATTCCTAAAACAAAACTTTAAAGGTGTGCTTACTTATTAATTTCTTTGCTGAATATTTTTTATTTCATACGCAAACCGAGGATATATATTTGAACTATTCACAGACGGTGCGGTGATATGGTGATGTCCTGTCTGCAGGCAGGCAGTGTGCTAAGAACTATATAATTCATTCTATATTCCTTTGCCTTTGTCAGTATACTAAAATTAAACTTTGTCGTAACTTTAGAAATTCGAAAAAATAGAAATTAGTCGACAGTCGAAATTTAAACGAGTCTCAACCAGATAGTCAACTCAAAACTTGGCCCTTCTCTTTATAGTATTATCCACGGAACAGAGAAAACTGCTGTTCTTTATGTTCCGTGGTATTGTCTGTGAATAGTTCAAACATCTCCTAGTTTTAAGAGCACAGGGAATATTAGAAGCGTCTTTGGAGAGTTACTTTTCTCTGACGCTGTCTGTACTTCTACCGCGCTATTTGTGAAGAGAGGGAGTCTTAGAGTCTTACTGACTAAAAACTACTTCGTTTCAACTCCTGCTAAAAGCCAGGCCACCGTACACCATAATGCTTGGACCTGCAGCCACAGCTGTAATCGTTCTAATATCTATATTCAACGTATGACTGGAGAGTACGGCGCGTAGCGGTGCTCAAAGAGCTCAAAGAACCAATAGACCATCAGGATTTAATATCCACCTTCAATGTATAACTGGAGAGTACGGCGCGTAGCGTTCCGCGCACGCTTCAGAGAGCCAATAGACCATCCACCACCACAGAATTGGGGCACATCAGGGCTGATGTTCAGCCAGGGTTACTACGGCCTCGGCTTGGAACAGGAGAAGGAACGGAAGGTTTTCAGTCAGTAACACTCTAGGCGAGAGAAGTCATTTGATATTTTCTCTTCAGAAAAAAAACCTTCAATGTATCAAAACTGTTGTTCACAGGAACATTGAACTCCATAGACTCGTACCTCAGTTTCTACTTACCGTCAGAGTTTGATGCGGAAGCGGATGAACATGGAGTGATAGGCACCGGCACTTGGGAGTCCTTGGTATACAGGTGAGTGTTCTTATGTAAATAGTTTTTTTTTATGGTCTGCTCGTGGGTCTGCTAGCGAGTAGACGGATGACCTGATGTTAAGTAATCGGCGCCGTGCCAGACACTCGTAATTCCTTTGATATTGTGGGTGTTTACGGGCGGCGCTGATTGCTTACCGCCAGGTAATTCGTCTGCTCGCTTACCGTCTAATTGCCGAACCGAAACTGCCAGCTCCGTTTCAAGATCGTTATATATATTCCCTCAGTGAGAGACTTTGTTTAGCAGTAGACGTAAAACTTCTTCACTACTACAGTATTGTACCGGGAGTTCCTCTTTTTTACTTCACGATTCCTTCAAGAGTTAATGGAACCATTATACATTATTCCAGCGCCGCCGTTCTCAATGAAATGCCAAGGCTACGCAAAGCTCTGTTCCCCGAACCAGCACCGCAGATGAAGCCTGTCGTCAAACAAAAGTAAGATCGTAATTTTCACATAAATATCAAGATCATTCCAATCTATACTTTAGAACAAGCTTCACTGTTGAACAGACTGACGGACTATTATTCTATTTTGTCGTTTCAAAAGAATATAGTTGTATATGTTCTGTATGGAGACAAGACATCATCAGCCTGTAAGTACCAACTGCTGAGCAAAAGCCTCTCACATCGAGTAGGTATAAGTATTAATCACCACGCTCGCTCAATGCAGATCGGTGATTTCAAATTTAGAATTAGAAATTATAAGCCCGCGATGTTTTCCTTCACCGTATATGAATGGTGTCTAAAGAATCTAATCCTCCAGGCCACCACAACGGCGACTTTATTATAAAAGCTGTAGCTACTTAATTGTCTTTTTTGATGAAAGTTAGGTATAAAAATGTGTGATGATGCTAAAACAGTCCGATACCTATTTACACGAACAAAATATTTTAATTCCAGGAGTATGACAAAGAAGGATAACGAATGGTACCTCGAGTTTCCGGGAGCCGATGCATCAGTAGTTTACCGATCACAGCAATTTGACTACCAGAACGAACAACAGCGTCCCGTACAGTTCAACGCTTACCTGAAGACAGGGTCTCTCTGGCAGACGATTAGCCTCGCTATGAGAGCTCTCACTGTGGTGTTGATGTCTAGGAGCGAGTGTACTAGGAAGTATTTGTTGAATAACCCGAAGTACTGGTCAGGGGGGTATGTGACTAAGGAAGGTCCAACAGCAAATGTAACGAATAATGTTCACTTTACATTCGAGATGGTTGGCAACGGCTGGCCTGAAGGAGCCGATGTCGAGAAGACGCCGCCTAACAAAACTGTTGTCGCTAAGGTAAAGCTTTATAGTTTTTATAATAATATACCTACTACCATTTTTTTTTATTAGCATTCCAAGGTGATACTAACTTTGTAGGGATTTTCTAATGCTTATTTACCTAATTAATTGTTCTCTGCATTGTTCTCACATATGGGTACAATAATATATGTACATATGTGTAGATCTTAAATACTGTAGTAGTGTACCTGTAAAACATTTTTTGAGAAAAGAGTCACGATGGAATTTCTTGCTCGTTTTTCTCAATTCAAATCTACTATTTGGGACGAGCAACTAGCTTGACTAACGAACAGACCGACAGACTATTCCTCAATTTTGACGTTTCAAAAGTACCTACCTATTCATGGTTTCGTTAGAATAAATGATTTTGAAATGTAAGAAATATGTCTCAATATTTGTTAATTTTTCTTCTAAAAACTATAGCTTCTATATAGACTTGTATAACACAGGTTTTGTTTTACCCTGGTATTGTAAGCAAAACTGTAGGCAACAGTTGTACTCCGTACTATAAGAAAAAAAATGTTGTATTAATTCTATTGTTGTACAATTTGCAGATTACAGGAAAGAACCCAGCGTACGGGTCCACAGTGGTGGCCGTGCTCATGTGTGCCCACACCATACTCAAGGAGAGACAAAATATGCCCGCACCGTGAGTACACTGCTTTACTTTTTTTAAAACTATCATTTAAAGCCTTTTCAATATTTAAGTTTCGCTAAAGCAAACCTTTTATTTTGTGAGGGGAAAATCAGCAAATAAATTCTCAGAGACGGCAAGAGGCAGTGTCAGACTCTTAACGACTAAAACAGTCCGCGGTACCGTAATGCGACCCGCGAACCCGCGATTTAGGCTAAGCATTGGCTATGTTGAGCCCCAAGTGTAGTGGTCTACTGGCTTCGCTAACAACCCTACGGTCTCGATCAGCAAGTACCTTTCGGTATACTAAACCATGAGCCATTGTCCTTATTTAATTTAATTCAAGTTTCCTACGTTATTTCTAATGGGACAAGCTACACTGCCACTGAAATTCCTGCAAGCTAACCCACTGATCTCATTGGATTTTAACTTTGTGATATGTTTAAAAATACTTTTTTCTTCCAGGGGAGGTGTGATGTCATCTGGGTCGGCTTTCAAGAACACCACACTCATACAGAAGCTGACTGATAACGATCTGAAATATGAAATTGTTAGCAAGTAACGCCTAGCCTAGCTAACCTGCCTAGCCTAGCCTAGCCTAGCTTACTAGTCTAGCGGAGCCTAGCCTAGCTAAGCTTAGCATATCTTTACTACTTAGTTTCTTTATTAAGTAAGCACGACTAGGTTCAAAGTATGTTAAGGAAATTGTTCGTCGAATATGGTACAAGCAGCTTATAAAGTTATTTATATAGAGTAGGTACAAAGCACAAGTACTTGGTACTTTGTACCATGTTAAATAACATAATTACATTCAAAACTCAATATACAAATATAGGACATCAATTTATTTAATAAGGGTAAGCTACCTCCTGCCTAGGGTTAAGATTTTAAAATTTATAGAAGGAAACAAGAATATTTTATTATAAAATCAACTTTATTTGCAGTTAAAAATGATTCAATATTCCATGAGACTTTCAGAACTTTAATATATGTGCCAGCTTCTACAAATAAAATAGAGATCCTAAAATCCTAAGCTAATAAATCGTAACTTTATTTTGATGTTAGTGCTGCCATCTGCCATCTACTGTTGAATTAAGATAATCCCACTAGTCGTTAAAACTATTTGACCTAATCAGTAGATGTCGCTAGCTGCAGGGACATGTACAAGTTGCTTTTGAGTATTTTGACAGAAGATGGCGCTGGGTGTATGCTGTGATATAACTTTCCTAATGGCCAGTTTTATTTAAGAGTTTTGTTTTATTTGTCTTAAGTGTGAGCCTAGAAACAACGTAATATTTCAATATAAGTTTATTTGCAAGTAAGTTTCTTGATGTGATATACTCGTAGATACTTAAATGTTTGTAAATAAATGTTTGATGCAATTATTTGATTTATTTGTTTTAAAAACCTGATCGAAACAGAAGTAATTTCTCCCGGCTAAGTTTTAGCTGAATGCCCAAGATAAGGATATGTATCATCAAGAACTATAAAAATATTTAGATTCTATAAAAATATTCATGACAGCCGACGACGACGATTTAAAGCTATATCAAAAAAAAAAATATGTTGCATTAGGTGAATCTCCTTTCGTTATCTTTATTCCCTACTATCCTGTGCATATTAGGCAGCAAACGAAAAGCTTATTGCTATACCAAAATCCTAAACTTGGTACCTAATACTTCATCATCATCATATCATCATATCAGCCACAGGACGTCCACTGCTGAACATAGGCCTCCCCCATTGACTTCCAGATAGGCCGGTTGGAAGCGACCTGCATCCAGCGGCTTCCTGCGACCTTAATCAGGTCGTCTGTCCACCTTGCGGGTGGACGTCCTACGCTGCGCTTGCCGGTACGTGGCCTCCACTCGAGAACCTTTCTGCCCCAGCGGCCGTCGGTTCTACGCGCTATGTGCCCTGCCCATTGCCACTTCAACTTACTAATCCGCTGGGCTATGTCGGAAACCTTTGTTCGTTTGCGGACATCCTCGTTTTTTATACGGTCTCGCAAAGAAACTCCGAGCATAGCCCTCTCCATAGCGCTCTGAGCGACCTTGAGCTTCTTTATAAGGCCCACAGTAAGAGACCACGTTTCAGTTCCATAGGTCATCGCTGGTAACACACATTGTGTTAAGTATTTTTTGTAAGTATGCATAAAGTTAATTAATAATTTTTATTTTTATTCAGATTAAGACTCCGCTATCCGACTCTCTGTCTGTCACCAGAGTACATCTCAGGGACCGTATTAGGTAGAATCGAAATTTGGACAGGTCTGGTGATGTAGATATTTCTGTTGCAAAAGTAAAAAAAAAGTCAAAAATCATTTATTCCAATTAGACCTTTACAGGCACTTTTGAACGTCAAACAAAATTTAAAATAAAAAATAGTGTCAGTCTGTCGGTCAGTCCTCTTAGTGAAGCTATTTGCTCGTTCCAAAGTGTAGATTCCGATGGAGAAGAACGAGCAAGAAACTCCATGGTTACTCTTTTTAAATCAGTTTCACATACAGATTCCTTTTACAAACAGTTGGTTCAATTATGTGAGAACAGTGTAACACTAATATTTATTCAAATATAAAAATAAAGTAACCTTAAGGACAATAGACAGTCTGGAGCTGACCAGTCCCAACTGACGGCGCTCGTTCACGAGCATGACACGTACACCAGCATCGCCCAACTCAACCATATTATAGGGAATTAAGCGATCCAGTGCCCATGCCACCGCCAGTGTGACCTTTCAGTGAGCATGACAACTCCAAGCTGTTATAAGGACCGACATTCTGCTAGTCTAAACAATTGTAATAGGTTACAGGGCACTCACATTTACAAATTTATCAAGTTATAGTTATACAATATAATGCAATTTCACTAAAATGAAGAAGTCCCGTTCAAGCAAGATCCATTGCTTCTATAACAACGTAAGTAATACCAATCTAAGTAGGTACTAAATAAATACAGACAGTGAATAGGCTCTTAATAATCAACGGCGCCTTACCATCAACGATTGCATCACTGCTTACCATCAGGTGGGATTGCAGCCAAGCACTAGTTTATAAGATGTAAAAAAAATATGGATGTATGATGTTAATATGTATGTTAGTACGAATCCTTCGTCTAAGAGTTAAACTCCCGTGTTTGCCTTTAGTTAATGACACCTATCATGTTTAAGATAGTAGATAAGCTTGCCAATAATATATTTGATATATTACGCAGACGGAATATGGTAGGTACTTCTCGAATTACACAGAAAAACAACCACAGCATTGTGTTTCGCGGTGTGAGTGCATTGCAAATAGCTTCGGTGTGAGTGAGGGAGTGAGGTTACTGTAGGCCTAATCTTTGCCTTCCCTAATCCCTAAGACTCCACTCCTCCGTTGATGCGGGTTCATACATACCATCGGGTATTCCAAAAGCTCATTTATCGTCCTACCACATAAAAAAACCATTGTTTTTGATCCTCCGATATTCGAAAGGCATGAAATGGGAAACTGGTAGTCTTCTGAAGTGCAGAAAAGTTTTAGAGGGAGACGAGACTAATCCCCCTGGTTGTAACTAGTTTTATCAGCGCTGCCATACCCAAGAGCAGTGTGTTACGGCCTTTTAAAAATAAGCCCTACTTTTTCATCCTAACCTTATTTTATGAATGAGTAAAGTTAAATTATGAAGATATGAATATTTAAAGATTTTCTTATATTTGAAGATGTTCTTCTTTTATTTTGTTAGCTTTTAAATATTAGAACATTTCTTGTTATGGTATAGGTTCACAGATGTAGTGTTCTTTCTAAAATAAATATTTTATTGTACAAATTGTTTTATTCTGATTATGAGTGTATTTTGCAATAAATTCTAATTCAATTTCAGCTAATTCTGTCGGAATATCCGATTTTCATTTTTTTCTTGCAAATTTTGCTAGAAAGCAAGACAGAATCTATTTAATCAAATTATAATACTGCTGTCCACGGGCGGCGCTGATCGCTTACCATCAGGTAATCAATAGATTCGTTTATTTCCCATACATATCTACCATAAAAGCACCGGTCCATTTTATTTCTGTCATGTCGTCGGGAGTGAAGTTTTGGTTTTAAAATTTAGAATGCATGCTTAGAATGGTACTCCAAGTACAGTACACACATATACACCTCGATCTTATATTAGAATTATCATCAAACTGGCAAAATTTCCCATTGAACATATGCCTACCCGAGCGTACGGCGCGTAACGTTCCGCGCGCGCCTCAAAGAGCCAATAGATCATCACAGACGGGGCCCTATAGGGCTGATGCTCAGCTGGGGTTGCGGGGTAAGAGAAATGAGGCACCGCGACCTCGGCCCAGAGCAGTAGAAGGAACGGGGGTGTTTTTAGTCAGTAAGCGTCTGACACTCCCACCCTCCCGGGCGGAAGAAGACATTTCAAGATTTACCCCTCACAAAAAAGAAAAATTGTACATCTGCCTTCGGGAAGTTAGAGGTTGTAGGTGTTCATTAGGAAGAATATTAAGTCTTTTTATAAGCATAAGCGTTTTATATTACTGAATTTCATCATTTTGTATTAATAAGTATCAATATACCTACTCTCATCGCAGTAGTTTCTGTTATTTTATTAAAACGACGAAAAACAGTCAATCCATCAGCTATCATCCGAATGCAGGCACTTACAACCCCTACACACTCCTTAGCTGGTCAAGATTCGATATAAAAATAATTAGGACAATAAAACTTCAGAAATGAAAATAGGTACAATTAATTTAATGATAAAAGTAGTAGACACTATCTTAATACATAATTTACACTCAGACTGACCTAACACACCACTGGTATATACATTATACTATTTGTACACAATATAATTACAAAATTAAAGACTAGTATCGTCAACGTACTAAAGAAAAACTTATTCAATGTAGATAAAACTGAAAATGTTAGTAAAGAAGAAAATTAATGTCCAATCAAAAAACGTCTCATGTAAACAAATAATTTCAAGGGAATTTGACACTCAAATACTCTGCAAAACAAGACTTTAATAAGGATTTGTGTGTAGCCGTTTATACTGATGAAACATTTAAGACTGGCTGGAGTCTAAATGCAGATATAAATAACTATGAAATAATGCAAAAAAGTGTTGAAATCATAGTCAATTACATTACAAATGAATGTTTTAATGATTTTATATGAAAGAAAGAAAAGAAAACGTACAAAAAAACCAAACGCAAAAGATTTCATAAAAGTATAATATTAATGCAGAAACAGTACATTCATTCAATATAATGTCATTGATTTTGTGTAATAAATTAAACAAAACAAGCTTTGGTTTAGAAGTAATAAGAACGATAAAAAAATAAATAAAAAAAAATACAAATCCTAATGATATTGTTCTTAAATATTTCCTAATGGACGATCCTAAAAGCATTGTAGTAAAACAGCGGCTGATCTTACAAGTAACAACTAACTTACGATTTGAAATTTACATTTAAATTCTAAGAAAATTCATTACGTTGACACATCCGTTGGTTTACACTAGTCAGGTTAATTGAGCCTTTATATCTTTTACAATAACATTACAATAATCTCTTCTGATATAAGTTTTATTTTCAAAGACAAATTCTTCATTAAAACAATCTACGCGCTATCTAATTTTCATTGGGTGATGAAATAATATTATTTGCGAAAGATATTTTAGGAAGGTACGATCTGGTCCTATCCTGTCTCAGGATAAGCAGATATATTTACTTCATCATGATTGTTTGCACTCTCATTCGAACTTTGAACGTTAGGTACGAAACTAATGTATCTACACGTATTTTCTTTATTGTTTCAAAAGCTTTCAGAGAGTTCGTTAAACAAATTTTGGATATCTACAAAGATGCGATGTTTTTCCAGAGTGACATTAAAACTATTGTAACATATGATCTATGGAATAACGCTAGCTACTAAAACATGGGTCCGTAAATAAAATGAACACAATAAAAATCAAGATACCAAACCACACAAAAGAGCATACATAATCTATTCTGAACTAGTCAACATTTTGGAAATGATAAAAACGTGATGATATTGCCAATCGATAAGAC